GCCATGGGAGATGCTGAACCTCCTCCAGCACCTGCGGAGTGCAGGGATGAGCGAGGTGGGACCTTCCCCAAAGCCACCCCCCCACTGCGACCCCATGGTGTCCCCACACACTTCAAACCCCTCGCCCCGTGGCAGGGCCAAGGCCCTGCTGACACCCACAGCCCCCCTGACCCCGCAGCTCACCCACGGTTGGGCTTTCCAGATTACTCAGCCCGTGCTGCTCCAGCACCCAGCACCCTCCCTAGGGCCAGGTTTTTGGGGTGCTGCCCCCACCCCCAGGCACGCTGGAGGTCACGCCAGGCTCTCCCCGGTGCCAGCACTGTCTCCTATGCAAATCTCGGCTTCCTCCCTGGTACCTGCCCAGCTGCAGCGGCAGCGCTGGGGCGGCACAGCCTACACGGGGTCAGCAGGGAGAGGGGGGGGTTGGAGCCCCACAGGTGCCCTGGAAGGCTGAGCAGTGGGAAGCATGGCACAGCCTCAGCGCTCCCTGCCAGGCCAGCACCCACGGGAAGCACCCTGCCTGCTCACGGGAGCTGGGATGAGCTGGGAAGCAGCAGCATCCCCTTCCCTGCCCGCCCTGCCCTGTGTCCCACATCCCAGTGCTCCAGGTCAGCCCTGGGGGATGGCTCCTGCTGCTGTGGCAGCAGCTGTATCCATGCCACATTCTCCTGAGTGTTCCCTGTTGCCATGGGGCTCTCCCTGACCCAGATCCTGAGTGGGATCCGCAGAGGACACGGATCCTCCCGGAGCGCACGGAGGACAAAAAGCAGCGAGGAAGCACCCCCAGCCCACAGCAACCTGCAGGGGTGCAGAGACCCCACAACACTCACCAGACCCAGCTCAGCCTGCAGCGGGAACCACCTCCCCGGGCTGCTCATCCCGCAGGATTCCCATGCCGTGGTGGGAGAGGCACAGCCCAAGGACACGCACGGACACAGGCCGGACATGCACGCTGGGATGGGGATGGGGCTAGGGGTGCTGCTGCTGCTGCCACAGCCCTGGTGGTCCCTCCCTGTTAGACCCCCTGGCCTTTGCAGCCCCTCTGGCCTCACCCAGCCCTCCCCAGCCCGGGGCATCCCCGTTCTCCCACATCCTGGTGCATCCCGGCAATGCCAGCACCTGGAGCACCCACTGCAGCACCCCCGGAGCAGGGGCTGCAGGGCTGGAGGGGCAGCTCCTCAGCTCCTTGGGCTGGATCCTCTGCCGGATCCTCTGCCCGACCTGGCTGTGGAATTTGGGAGGCGCGGAGGTGGGGCAGCGCCTCGCCGGGGCGGTTATCCCGGGAGAGCCGGGCGCCAGGCAGGTTTCCTCACCCCACAGCTCCCTGCTATCCTGTCCCTCCCGCTCCGGGAGGGAAGCATTGATTTTCCTGGTCACGCTGGTGCTCGCTCAGCCCGGCCCAGATCCCGGGAACAATCCCATCCCTGCTCGGCCTCGCACACACCAACAGCTGCGGGCAGTCGATGGGAACAGCTCCCACATCTCCAGAGTTTGCTCCTCGTGAGCGTTGCTGCGGTCCTGGAGCCAGAGGGCCGTTCTGCAGGAGCAGAGGGAGCACCCCGACATCCCCCCCGCACCCTCACGAGTGCCTCCTGCCCCCAGCACCGGGGTTTGGTGGGGTGAGCTGACTCTGCCTGGCCGCACACGAGGGTCGGCTTGTGCCTGTCCTTGTCCCTGTCCCCATCCTCTGATCCAGCGGGTGGCACCCCTGCCCATGGCAGGGTGGTTGGAACGGCATCATCTTTAAGGTCCCTCACGACCCAAACCATTCCAGGATTCCATGACCCCCATCCCTTCCCCATCCCTTTCTCCGTGCCTTTTCCATGTCTGTCCCCATCCTTGTGCCAGGGGAGGCTCTGCCACGCCGGGAGGGGACAGGACCCCCACCTTCCCTCTCCTCTTTGCCGGTGACCAACTTTTCAGTTTCTCGGGGACCATTTAATTGTTCCGTTCATACAAACACCCCAACTTCCCTCTCCCTCCGGCCCGAGGGGGCATTCCAAGATCCACGACCCCGCACCGTGCCCTGGGGGAAGGGGGACACCCCCGGGTTTCCCCCCGCCGCCGCCGCGGACCTTTTGGGTTCCCAGCGCTCGAGCAGCACAAGGATGAGCTGGAGATTTTGGGAAGCGCTGGGAACGCCACGCAGCAGCGAGCGGGACCCGCATCTCCTCCGGGAGGCGGAATTATTAATACAGATAAACGCATACATGAAAAATTCTCTTTTTTTTTTTTTTTTAAGGGGACGAACCGAGCCGCTCCCGGTCGGAACCCCCCCGCTCCCCGCGGTCCCCCCGCTCCCCGATGCGGCCCTACCTGCTCCGAGCGGCGGCGGCGGCGGCGCCGGGCGGGGGCCGGGGGATGCGGGAGGAGCCGGGGGAGATGCGGGAGGAGCCGGGGGAGATGCGGGAGGAGCCGGGGGGAGGCGGGAGCACCGCGGCGGCGGAGGCGGCGGACAATGGCGGGCGCAGCGCGGGCCGGTGCGGGGCCATCTCCCGGCCGCTCTCCGCATTGCACAGCGCCGCGGGCAGAGCCCCCCGCACCGCCCTCCCCCCGGCGTGCCCCCCGCGTGTCCCCGAGATACCGGCCCCCAGTGTCCCCCTACATGGCTCTGGGATGCTCCTGGTTCCCCCCGCCGAGCCCCCCGCAATGATAACCCCACCGCAGCATCCAGACCCCTGGGCTTGAGGGAGGCCCGGGGAGGGGGGAGGACCCCCGGTGTGAGCAGCAGATGTGCCGGGATCTGTTTTCCCTGGCTCTGGCAGACAGGGATAACGGGCAGCTCCGGGATCATCCCAGCGCCGCTGGAGAGCCACGAGCCGAGCGGGGAGGGCTGTGGGTCACAGCTGTGGTTTGGGTTTAGTGGCCACAGAGATTATCCCTGTGTTTTATATCCCTGGGTATTATCCCAGCCTCCCCGAAGGCTCCCCAGGAGATGGGCAGGATGGAGGTTTTGCAGGATTCATCGCACCGTGTGAGGGGATGCTGGGATTTTGGGGTCTCTCAGTGTGACCCCGTTTCCCACTAGGCCCTAATGGAAAAATGGCCTCAGCCAGCCCCATGTCTGACTGAAAAATCCCTCTGCACCCACTTCTGATGGGAATTGTCACCTGCATTGTCGGGATGAGCTGCAGCTCGGCTGGAAAAATCCCAGTAATCAAACCTGCCCAGCACCCTGTGGTGGTGGAATCCCTGCGTCCTGGGACTCCCCTGTCCTGGCTCATCCCCTGACCTGGGATTATTCCCTGTCCTTCTCTTCCCGCTTGGCCTGATCCCCTTTGAGCCCTCCCAGCTTCCCCCACCGCCCCCCCAGCACACCCCACTTTGCTGTGGGGTGAGGAGGCAGGTGGGATCGGGGGATCCCCCTTCCCAAGGCCGTCAGTGAGGACCCCCCTCTTTCTGCACATCCCACGGGCAGCACGAGGGGCAGGATGAGCCTGTTATTTGTGTTCCGAGCCGTGCCATAACCACGGCGAGTGTCCGTGGGGTTGGGGGGAGCGGGCAGGAGTGGGGGGACAGGCAGGGGGAGCAGGAAGGGGGTGCAGACAGCGGGATAAACCAGCAGAGCGAGCAGCTGAGCCAGAGCCCGGATAGCTCAGTCGGTAGAGCATCAGACTTTTAATCTGAGGGTCCAGGGTTCAAGTCCCTGTTCGGGCGCTCAGTTTTTCGCTCGCTTGTTTTTGTTTTTTTTTTTTTTTTTAACTCCTCCGAATTAATTTTTTTTTCCTCCCCCTCAAAAAGCCTTTTGTTTTTTTACACCCCCAGCACCGCCGGCGCTTCCCGGCGGAGGGGCCCGGTTGCGCCCCGGGAGAATCCGGGCGGATAATGGAAAAAAAAAAAAAAACAAACCACCATGTAAATGAGAAAAACAAATCCGCCCGAACAGGGACTTGAACCCTGGACCCTCAGATTAAAAGTCTGATGCTCTACCGACTGAGCTATCCGGGCTCTGCAAATCGCCGCAGGAACAGCCTTTATCACCGACACCACATGGACGGCAGCACAGCGCGGGATCCCCTCCCAGTGTCCCCCAAATCCAGAACGGCCCCCCGGCCTTTGCTCTGTACGCGCAGCAGTTCAGGCGCTTCCCAAGCTCAGCGTTAATTGGGGTTGTTTTCGAATCTTCACCCCAGGTTACGCAGCCCCAGCTCCCTTCTCAGGGGAAGGGCCTGCACAGAGACAAGGGGTTCTTGACCCCTAGGTGGGATATTTAGGGTTGTCACGGAATGGTTGGGGTTGGAAAGGAGCTCTGGGGATCCAGTCCAGCCCCCCTGCCAAGGCAGGGTCACCTGGAGCAGGTGACACAGTGAAGTGTCCAAGTGGGTTTTATACTGAAGGTAATGGGGCGTTATAATGTCCAAGTGGGATTTATTGTGTCCAGGTGGGGTTTATAATGCCTGGGGGGGCGGTTTATAGTGAAGACAGTTCAGCTCTAGGGCACAGGAACATCGAGTCTTTTGTCAAGTCAGTAAATGTCTGCACAGACACTCATCGACATCCTGATTTACTGCATCCCTATGGCTTGTTAATTCCAGGATGTCCTTGAGCTGGGGATGGAACTGCTGCCCGTGTCACTGAGGCTTGAAAGTACATAAAGATCTTACGTCAAAGAACACCTTGACTTGAGACAATCTTGTTTTTTTAATTTATGTTTAATAGTATTTATAATTTGCTTAAACATTATGTATAATATATATTACACATCATAATATATATTATACATAGTAATATATATTATATATTACAAATAATAAATATATGAAAACTCATACAAGTAAAAATATAATATGTTATTTATTTATCGTTACTTATAATAATTATTAATGTTTATTATGTACTATTTTAAGGGTAATTTTCCTTCTTGTTTTTCATTTCCCGGCAGGGCTGAGGGGGGGACTCTACGCCGGGGTCCTCCACCCCGCTGGGGGGCGCCACATCCCCCGCGGGTCCCCCGCGGCCCCTCTAGCCGCGCGCCCCGCGCCGCTCGCTGTCCCCGCCGCCATGTTGGCCGTGAGGGGAAGCGGCGGCCCGGACCCCGCCAAGATGGAGGCGCGGAGCCCTCGGGGGGTTTAGGGGTCCCGTCCCCCCCCCCGACCCCCGGCCCAGGGCCGCCCGGGGCCCATGGAGCGGTTGTAGGGTGAGCTCGGGGCCGGGGGGGAGCCGGGGGTCTCGGGGAGCGCAGGGCTGAGGGGGCGGTGGGAAGGGCGGGGGGGGCAGGAGGCGGTGCCGGCGGGAGGGGCCTGGGGCGGTGGGAGTGGTGATAAATCTTATCTCCTGGGAGGGAAGGGCTGGCAACTGGGAGGGTTCGGCTTCTAGGAGGGAGGTTCCTGCGTGAGCTGATTGCGGCCTGAAGGAGCCGACGGGAAAGATGGAAAGAGGCTAATTCCAAGGGCCTGGAGGGACAGGACAAGGGGGAGTGGGTTTACGCTGCCAGAGGGAGGGTTGGATGGGATATTGGAAAGGAATTCCTCCCTGGGAGAGTGGGATGCAGTTCCCAGAGGATGCCCCGTCCCTGCAAGTGTCCAAGGCCAGGTTGGATGGGGCTTGGAGCATCCTGGGACAGTGGCAGGGGGTGGGATGGGATGGACTTTAAGGTCCCTTCCAACCCAAACCATTCCGTGATTCCATTATCTCACCCGCACCTAGCAGAGGATATTTTTCCTCGTTTGAAGCTGAGCCAGTATCAAAGCAGCAAAGGAGAGCATGTAACTAAAACAGTAAGAATTTGAGTCAGGCCAGTCTATAGAGTATGAAATCCGTTAAATTCCATCATTCACAGCCCAGGTTTATCTTTTCCTGCTGCCCCTTCCCAGCCAGAAGCAGTGAAGGGTCTGGGCAGCTCCTCTCTTTGCTGGGAGGGCAGCTCTCCTCATTCCCTGGCTGGCATCCCAAAGGACGTGGACGAACTTGGGAACACGGTGAGGGGCTGGGGGTGAATCCCAGGGGGGACTTCCAGGCATGAAAACACCCAGGGACTGATAGGGACAAACCTAATTATCCCTGACTTAATTATCAAGTCAGTGCCTGTTTAGGGCCTCTCCTCCAGGGCTGCTCTGTGTGATGCTCTACGCAGAATTACAAGTTATTTTCAGTTTTGTGCTTTGTTTGAAAGCTTGAGCAGGGCTGCTGCTGCGGTGTCACACCTGAACTCACCATCAAAACGAGCCAGTGGAGAGCCCACAGTGTCTGGTTTACACTCCCTGCTGTGTTTCCACTTTACCCACAAGTTAGAAACTATCGTTTCCTGGAAATGAGGCTCTAAAACCAACCCTGAGCTCGAGTTAGAAGTTTAAGTGAGCTTTCCAGGCTGTGCTTGCACTCTGGCTCTGGTGAGATCTTTATTCTCGAGCGCCTCAAGCTGTGCTCTGGTGGGGTTTTGGTCTCTTGAGAAGGAAGTTCTGCTCCCAGCACAGGCAGACGACTTGTTCCTGTGGTCTGTGTCGAGTTTTCGAGTGGAAAATACAGTTATTCATGACTTCTCTGTGATTCATGGATTCCTCAGGCTCCAGTGGCGTTTGCTGGAGCTCCAGACAGCTCTAAATCCACTGGGGCTCCGTTCCCTTGGCTGCAGGTTGGTCCACGCACAGCGCTGGGAGGTAAAACGTGGGATATTTGGGAGCAGAGCTGTAGGGGAGGGTTAAACTGGGCTCACTGAGCGAGAAGCTTCTCCTTTCTTCAAAATTTGCACCCTGGCTGTGACTGAGGGGGGGTTTCTGTGCCTGCTGGCCGTGCCCGTGGATTCTGTGGGAGCCTGGATGTGTTTCAGAGCTCGAGAGCGCCGAGGTTGATTAAAAAAAAAATCGCATTACTCAGAATCAAACTCGCTGAAAATATTTGCCCGTGAAACCGGAGGCAAAGCTGATAACGCTGATGAAATCAGTGTTGAAACAGTTAAAAGGCATCTCTGGTGGGATGCCCGGGGGCAGCCGGGCCGTTTTCCCGGAATGCGGGAGGGAAGGAAGGAAATGCAGCGTTTTTAGTGCTGGTTTCACACCAGCCCGGGCCGTTATCGGGGCTCCCTCCCTCCCCCGCCCGGCCCGGCGCCCTTTGAAAGGGCGAGTCAGAGCCCGGAGCATCGGCGGGAACGGGGCAGAGCCTTCCCGGGGCTGCTCCGGCCGGGAATCCAGGGATAACCACCCCGCGGGAATCCTGCGGCGCTCGGTGAGTCTGCCCGCGGGGAGTTCCAGCTCAGGGTGGGCACCTCGTGTTCGGCGTCACCGACCAGAGACCCGCGGTAAAGTTCAGGGGGGCGATGAGGGGGAAGCGCTTCAGGATGCGTTTTGAGTTTGTGTTTTGGGTTACTGACGCTCTTGAAGTTATTTGCAAACCTGAATGTTTAATGTGCCTTAATCGGCCCTTCCTGAGTATTTAGAGAGGCGTTTGATCTCTGGGAATGATTTTATTCCTGATAGTGCCTCGCTTCGGAGGACTGTAATGCCGTAAAAACCATCAGAAGCCTCTAATAAAGTCATTAAAAGCCCTTTTTAATAGATGGGCTGGGACTGAGCAGTTGCCAGAGCTCAGGAGTTTGACTTGGTGGTAAAGCTCAGGTTTCTGTCGTTACTGAGCCACCTTGAGCCTGTTTTGTCTGCACTGAGACCTTTGGTTACATTCCTCAGGCAGCACTCTGGGAATTTTGCTGATACTCAAGCTGGCCCCCAGTCTTGATAACTGGGTGTAGTAATAAATTCATTTACTGGAGCTGGAAAATTCTGGGGATTCACGTGTGGCTTTGAAAGTTTGGGGCTTCACACTTTCAAATCTGGTGTTTTGAGTTTAGAAGTGAAAATGAAATAATTGTCATTGGAGCTGAAATAATTAAACTACTGCATGGATTAAAAGTTGAGTCAAAACATTCCCAAGGTTGCAGAGACCCAGGCAAGCTGAGGAGCCAGTCTTGGTAGTTCATCTCGTGTTTCAGCCTTTATTTTACCAAAAAGGCAGTTGCAGGGCTTGTTTCAGTACTGCCTGTAACCAGATTCGTGTTAAAATTTTACTGTAACCAGGTCCAGGGACACACCACTGACTGGGTTATTGGTCTGAGCTTTAGTGCTGAGACTAAAATCAAGGATTCAAATTCTTCTCCATCAAGTTCAAGGTACTTTTTCCCAGGGAGGAGTTGATTTAGACCATCCCTTCTCTTCAAAGGTCTCAGCCCTGTTGTGTGGGGCAGATGAAAATGGACTGTGCTGTGAACATGAGTCATTGCTGCTCTTTGGGTGGATTCTGAAACCGAGACAAATTCAAATAGCTGCAGGACTTCCCCTTTTGTTCCCTTCCAGGAAAGGATCTGTCACCTGCTCACCCAGAAACTGTTCAAACTGTTCATTTATCAGGCCCTGGGTGGGGGCTGCAGCAGTTTTGGCAGATTTTCATCTCCTGGAGGTCAAAGGAGGTGGGGAATGTGCTAACGAGGGCCATCAGCTCTGGCTGCTGCTCCTTTGGGAGTCAGGGCTTGCTCTCCTGGGATTTCCTGGTGACTGGTGGTGACTCAGCTCCTCATTCCCCACCTCTGACTCAGGAGTTTCACCAGGGTTTGCTGGTGCCTCGTGGGCACTGGCAGGTCCCCAAGTTCCTCACTGTGCTGTGTCACTCCTGGAGAGGCAGAAAATCCCAGAATCCCAGACTGGCTTGGGTGGGAAGGGACTTCAAAGCTCATCCAGTGCCACCCCCTGCCATGGGCAGGGACACCTTTCACTACCACAGGTTGCTCCAAGCCCCGTTCAACCTGGCCTTGGACACTTCAGGGATGGTGCAGCCACAGCACCAATGTCCCAGTTGTCCCATGGCTGGGACAGCTCAGAATTATGGAATCACTGATGCTGGAAAAGGCTTCAGCATCACTAAGTCCACCATCAACCCAGCACCACCACCATGGTCACCATCAAACTGTGCCCTCAGGTGCCACATCCACACGTTTTTTGAGCACTTGCAGGGGTGGGGATTCCACCACTGCCCTGGGCAGCTGTGCCAGTATTTTACAACCCTTTCCACCATAGATTTTTCTTCCTGTCTAATCTAACCCCTCCCTTGGCAGGACAGAGCAGGTGGGACACAGGACCATCAGCATTGCTCAGCATCATTTGAGATGTGACTGCAGGGCTGATTTGAAACCCTGTTTTCCTGAGGCTTCTCCCGAGGTGGAAGTGGTTAAACTGCAGCCCAGGTTTCTCAGGCTGACCCTTCTCAATTTCAGGTGTGTGCTGTGAGCAGCTGATCACTGCCACCATGACCTCCCCCAGCCCTGCCCAGCACCCAGCAGCTGAGAGCTCCTGCAGGATCACTCTGGGACAAGCTAACCAGGTAATTTGCTGTTATTTCCTCCACTTATCTTTGCTGCTTTCCCCTCAGAGCAGTGATTTCTTCCATTAAATCCAAGCTCTCCAGGTATATTTAAGTAAGGAGAATTTACCCTAATGGAGAAGGGGCTTTCATCCTGAGGAGTTGTGTTATCTTTCACTCTCAGATCATTTATGAACGTTATTTAAAGGGGAAGGAAGGGAAAACTGGAGATGGAAAAATAACACAGTGAATATTTTTGTGCTGAGCCTGTCCTTGGAATATTCCATGCTCACCATTCCTCCTGGAGCTGCACTCTGGGACAGCTGTACTGGAGCTTTGTAACCTTGCATGTTAAACTTTGTCTGGTAATGCATCCCCAGGCCTTTGTGAGTGTGTGTTCAGGTGGCTTTGGACATGAAGTACTCCTGTTATCAGCTGTTCCTGGAACAAAAGGTATTTGCAGGTGCAAGCCAAGACCAACATGGCAAGTGTGTGTTTTGAGTGTGACTCAATACCAGCCACTCAGAGAAAAGAGATTTGCCAATAACAGCAGAAATCTGGTGTAAAAAAAAAAAAAAAATAAAATCAGAAAGTCTCCTCCAAGCCAGGCATCCAACCTTCCAGAGCCAATTCCTTGTTAAAAAAAACACATCCCCAAGATGTAAGGGAATGTGGTGGGAGTGGAAATAAACTGATGGGGAGTTGAGCATTTCCCATTTGAGGCTTTATTTAGAAGCTTTGAACTGGAGCCAAGGCCTGTGCAGAATTGATGTCAATGCTTATTTATTCAATTCGCTCTGCATGGAAAAAAAAAAAAAAAAAAAGTAAATAGGCTCTGATAATAGTGACAAAATATTGATTGTCAACACTCATGTCCCGGGCAGGGTGGAACAAACACTTCCATCAGGACGGGGGGAGCTGAGGGCCCGTTTTAGAACCATCCAGCTGACTGGGTTGCTTCTTTCATCACAAGGAGACTTCTGAGAAGTTCCTTCAAAACCCATTTGAGAGTGGTCATTAGAGAAATGACTGAACAAACACATAATTTCGTCTTATTAAAAGCCATGTGCTGGTACAAGCACTTGCTGGAGCTCTGCTGAGCTTTTTCCTACTGCAGAAGCTGCTTTTTTGAGGAAGAGACTTGAGGCTGGACACGAGCTGTTGTGTTTGAGCTGGAAAATGCATTTGAGAAACACCACAGTGAGAAAACAGAGCAGGCACATCCACAGAGGAGGGGAGCCTTTGGAGCTGGCTGCCTGGATTCCTGGGCTGGTTTTTTTTTCCTCTTGCCCAGTGGCTGTGCCAGGGTGATGGGATGTCTCTCAGCAGGGCTCTGCTTCCTGTCCTTCCAACAAAGCTCTGCTCTGTGTTCCAGGTGAGGCCCACACTGCCACTCCTGAGGATTCTGCAGGCAGCAGGAGCCCAAGGAGACACCTTCACCCTCAAGGAGGTGGGCTCACATTCCAGGCTGTGCCTGGCCCTGCTTTTCTGGGAGTTGGGATGGGACTGGCTCTTAATTTTCCTGTAGTTTGAACCCCTATCTGCAAAATAAGGATATTTCACCAGAACAGTAGGACTGTTCTGGCTTGATTGATCATAATGCCCCTGGAGGAACTGGAATAAGAGTGTGAAATATTATTTATCCCTGAAAATCAGAAACCTCTGTAGAAAAAGGAGAGATGGGATAATCACATTCCTAAGAGAGTGTAGAAGATTCTATTCCGTTGTGCTATCCTCTGTTAAATGTACCAAAGCCTTAAAAATTGGATTCCAGTTGATATTTTTTAACTTTCCCTCGAAATGGCTTGTCAGCTTAACCTGAGAGACCCTGTGTTTTCATTTATTTTAAGATTAAAATGCAATATATGTACACGATTAAAAAAATGACAGTGTGATTTACAAGAAGATCCTGCCTGCAAAGAATTAAATGCAGTGGTTTTTTATTATATGTGTCAAATCTTCCTGCAGAGCCCTGTGACTTAATTTAACACTTATGCATTTAAATAACTTATTTAGCTTCTAAAAATTTGTGCAAAAACAAATTGGATGGTTTAAATGGGCAGAGCTGAGTATTAAGTGCAGGTTACCTGTAGGGATTAACACTTCAGCTCAGCTGGGTTTTCTGCAGGGAGTGCAGCACTGCTGGCAACTTTTTGGGGACACTTTGGGGTCACTTTGGTGGGTGTTGGGGGATGGAACTTGCCTGTATTGTGCTTAATGCCCTCTGCTTTCCCCTGGGGAAATTCCAGAGGAATTACAGTGCTTTGGGTTGTAGCTGGAGGATGTTTCCTCTCCATCCTTCTTTGTGATACTAATGGGGTTCATTTTACACCTGGCAGGCTGTGTCCTGAGGGGCAGCACTGGAAGTGGGGGCAGCCTTTGGGAACAGCTTGTTCTTTTGACTGGGATGGTGCTGTTTTTCCATCCTGGCCTCAGTTTTCCTCCTTGTCCAGGGCTAATAGTTCCAAACCTTACAGCAGAGTCATAAATCATAACTCTCCCTGGGCTGGGAGGCACAAGAAGCCAGGTATGATTTGGCTCACGCTGCACAGGGCAGCAGGAGGCAAACTCTGTGAATTCACTTAAACTCCCAGGGGTTTTTGGTGGTTGGGTTTCAGCTGCAGGTGGGGCTGAGGGTGTGCTCTGTACCCGCAGGTGATGCATTACCTGGGCCAGTACATCATGGTGAGGCAGCTCTACGACAAAAGGCAGCAGCACATGGTCTATTGTGGAGGGGATCAGCTGGGAGAGCTGCTGGGCCTGGACAGCTTCTCTGTAAAAGATCCAAGGTAGGGGGGAAAGTCACCTTGAACCCGGCTTGTGTGAGGAGGATGTCACTGAGACACGAGCTCCTGGTGTCACTGTCACATAAACCTCCCTGGTGGGGACGGGGGTGACAAGTGGGAGCTGAGTCCCTCCAGGACCATCCCTTGGAGCCAGGGAATGGTCCAGGCACTGAGCTGCCTGAGGGGACATCTCTCCCCCCTCTTATTCCTGCACCTCCTCAAACCCCTGGTCTCACTCGATCAAAAATCTCCATCTGCAGCTGAGCCCTGAGCTGAACTTTGTAACAATCAGTGAGTCAGTGGCCAAAAAAAACCCCCACTGTGTTTCCAGTGTCCCCTCTGGGTAAGGAAAGGGATTTCCGTGCCCCGTCTCAGCAGGGTGAGGGTGGTTTGTGCGGGAACACTCACTGTGCCTCCCTCCCACAGCCCCCTGTATGACATGTTGAAACGGAACCTGACGGCGGCTGCGCTCACAGGTAGGTTGGTCACAGTCCGGGCAGGGCTTTTCAATGTAGTGTTGCTATAACCTGGTAAGTAATGAAAACCAGACACAGAAATGTTTGTCAAGCTGGAATAAACTGCTGATGAAGGTTTTGAGACAATCTCTTGGAGTATGTGTCTTTTCTGTGTGTCAGTAGAGCTGTGATGCCAGAGCAGGGAGCTGTTTGAGTGATGTGGCTGCCTAAAAATGGCCAAATTTCAGGGAGCTAAATGCTGTGGATAAACAAATCAACGTGGCTGGAGTGTCCCATCCAAATCATTATTGATTTTCTCAGTATTTTTCAGTTTTCCAGCTGCAGCTCCTCCTTCTCACCTCATTTTAGACTTTCATAATCCATAACAGCACTAGAAATCCAGCGAGCTCTGCGAGCCAGAAGTCTGGACTTTAATCAGACACTTGAACCTTTAAAGGTCACTGTTGCTTTCCCAGCTCATAAGAGAAATCAAATCTGGCTCCATCAAAAGTCCTTCAGTCATAAATGGAAATTTATTCTTAAATTAATCCTGGCTGATGGCTTCCTTGCAGCCAGCTCCCACTGTGGGGCTGGTAATCTCCATTGGAAAAAAACATCCTGTGAGGGAGCTGCACTGGGAGAGCTGTGGAGTCTCGTGCCATATTTCCTGGGTGCTCTAAGCAGATAATATGGACTTAGTTCTTTACAAAGGCTCAGGCTATTTTTGCACAAGTGCATAAAAAGCTTGTGCAGATTTAGAAACTGAAAAAACACGGCCCTGGAGTGCTTAGTCCATATTGGTGCCTCTGAGGTCCCCTTGCTTCAATTCTAAAGAAGGATCTTTTGAGGTGGACTCTCCTAAAGCTGTACAATACCTGTGTGAGTGCTGTTTGCCTCCCTGCTGATGTGCTGGCTCTTCCCTAAGGCAGTCTGTGTGGAGAGCAGAGGATCCCAGCAAACACTGTTTGCTGGCCTGTCCCCTTTCCCTGGTGTGTGCCTGTGTGTGTGTGTGTGTGGTGCAGTCTTGGGGTAACCTTAAAGCTGCCAGAGGAGGTCCTGAGTTAGACCTGTGTGTGTGTGACTGAAACGAAACAAGCTTGGCAGACCAGGCTCCGGACAGATCCCCAGGGAGGGGCACTCCAGGCGTTGCTTTTCCTTCATCCCAGCACAGGAATAACCAGAATTTTAGGACTTAAAGGGTTCTTCATGTGTCGTGTTCTGCAGTAGCTGCTTGAGTTCACTGGCCAAATCAGGGCTTGTCAGCTCATCATTTTGCAGATTATTTGAAGTGCACTTGGAGAAGGAAAAGTGGCTGCAGCACATCTTGAGAATGAGGAATGAGCTCTTACACAGGGCTCTTTATCAGGCCACCATCTGATCTCACACCTTCCTTGGCCAGCTCTTTCCCCCTTCCTTGGCCAACTCTCTCCCCAGGTGTATTTAGGAATCCCTCACTTCAGGGACATTCTGTGTGGGATGTGTTGGCTCCTAAAAGGGGAGCCTTCCAGTCAGTGCAGGGTTTTTCACCCAGTGAAAATTTATAAAGTGGTAGAAGGGTGAGTCTACATCTGTTCCAGTGTCCCTGCAGAGCCAAAGCAATGATGGATGAGCCGCTTGGCTTCTGTTTTCCTTCAGGTATTAAATAACCAGCTGTAGGAGCTGTAGGGTGATGGCAGCAGGAAGGGAAAGGTGAGCTAAAGCAATGAGGGACAGAGCCATGTCATCCTGTCCTGGGTTTTGCTCCATTTGATGGCCACTTTGTGGTCTAATTTTTGCCTGTAGCAACAGTTCTGAGTGTCTTCATGGCAGTGCTGTGATTCATGGTGTGAATCAGACTCCTCCTGTGTGCCTGGCACTCAGCAGGGAATTTCTCTGCTAAATGGAAAGGGGAGCGAGCAGGAGCCATCCTTGGAGCTTTTGTTCTCTAGCCAGCCATTCTGTCTGAAGGACAGGCTTCCTAAGTGCACCTCCTGTTATGTAGAAAGTTCTCTTAATTGGATTGTTCTTGCTATTTAGCTTGGTCTTTTTAATTAACTCTTGGGGCCAGCAGAATCATCTGGATCAAATTGTGTTAGGGATGTGTCCACAGCTGCCCAGGAAAGAGCTGGCTGTGCATGGAATTTTCCCTTCTTCAGTCTAGTCTTTGTTCTTCATGCCCACACCCTTTAAAAAGGTGATTTTCCTGCCTGAAAGAGAAGAAATCCTCAGGTAGTTATAAAAATCTTGCTCTGCCCTGTTCCCCTTCTTCAGCATGGATCTGATCCCGGTGGGATTCCCCACGCTCGGGGGGTCCCTGCCTTTGGCAGACCTTGTGTCGTGTCCCTGGAGCTCGTCATGGCAGGACAGGCTGTAGGCACAGGAGCAGTTTTTCTCTTTGGGAAGAAGATTCTTCCCTGCTGTTTTTATCTTCTCCATGGGCTGCCACAGCCTGTATTCCATGAGCTGCTGCCTCCTCGTGCTTTCTGAGGAAGGAAGGGCTTTGCTCCTCAAGGGTTTCTCGCTGGTCTGCCAAGCCTGGCTCGTTGGTTGCTTGTGAAGGCCCTCTGTGTTGTGAGAATGGTTATTACTGGGGAAGGTTTTTTCTCTTGTTTTACCTGCCATCTAGATGCTGCACAGACTCTCCCAAAGGAGCAGAGCGTCGATAAGCCAAGCCAAGACCAGCTGAAGGTAAACCCACTGCTGGGTGGTTTCTTTTGTTGTACAGAGTGCCCCTTCTCTGTACCTGTGCATGGTGGACTGCCAGAACTTTGTGTTGCTTGGCTGCCAGGTCCTCACCCTTCCTGAAAAGTTCTTGGAGTCCACAGGCAGGGACAGAGTGACCCTTCTCTGTTCTCCTCATAACAGAGTTCCAGTCTCTGAGCGCGTTTCTCTGGGGTGTAGCACTTCTAGTCCTCAGTTCCTCCAGCCTGCTCTGCTTTTCCTCGTCTCTCCCCCTCTCTCCCATCCCCTTCCCTGAGTAGGAATTGCCAAATAACTAAGCTTCCTAAAACGTGTGACCAAGTGTTTTTTGTGTTTAGTTAGGATTGTTTTTCGAGCTTTCAGGCAGAATTGGAAACCTAGGAAAAATCTTGGCACCTTCAAACTCGTCTCCAGGTGTGATTTGGGGTGAGGGCAGCCTGGTCTGGGAGGCATCTGTTCACTCTGGGGGCCAGAGAGTCACAAATACCACGTTTTTACTGCATGAAAGATGGCAACTTTGGGACTTCTGCCAAGCTAAAGATTTTTCCTAGGTTGGAAGTACATGTGTGTGCTGATTTACAGGTGCCTTAGGCTTTGTCAAGGGTAAATAGCATGTAGATTTTGCTCAGAAACTTTTTATTCCTCCTCATAACTGCTTGGCCTTGTCCTGCAGCTGGTGACTCGGAATGGAAGTGCTACATCCCCTTGTCCCTATAAGCTCTGGTGGACTAACACCTGCGTTTTCCTCCCTGCAGCTCAGCCAGGAGGAAGGTTCTGGTGCTGGGAGCGCTGCGGGGGAGGAGAGCAAGGCCTCTGCTTTGTCTACCTCAGAGCAGAACTGTGACACTCATCAAGGTGAGTCCTGGCTCTCCTGCACCAACACCACGTTGCACCAGCCCTTCTGCTCCTCCTCTGCATCAGCAAACACCGGAGGAGGATTTTGGGACGCCAGTAAAACCCTGGTTTGGAGTACAATCATTAAAACCCATCGGTTTATGCTAAAGGCTGAGAGAACACAAATGTTGACCAAAGGTATTTTATGATAGATGTGTTTTCTGCCTGGGCTCTTTGGTCTCATAAGCAAACAAATGCTTTGAAGGAAATGGCAGGTTAAACCCCAGAAGCACATCTGTCACTGAACAATGCCACGGAATATCTTACAGACCTTGCTGAAGGGTATTTTAAATGCTGAAATTACACTTGTATCTATTTATCTTCCCAAGGGACTCTGCTGATCACACAGAGCCCAGACTGCACTGTCTGCAGTCATTACCTGCAAACCAATCAGGGAACTGAACAACAGTGGGTTTTTTTTTTTTTTTATCCAGCACAAGTGTAAGACAGCTCCTTCATATTGAGACATTTCCTCTGGTGTAATGGCTGGGGATTTCTGCCTGGGTCACTCACTTGGATTTCAGATGTTTTTGGAAGCAATGCTCCTGATTTTTCTGCTTTCTATTCTCAGGTTGTTTTCATATCAAGGAACTCAATTTGTAAAAGCAGGTCTTTGTGAGTGTGGGTATTTCCAGATCAAATGAGAGTGGGAGATATTTCCTGTGTGTACAAAAGAGGGAGAAGCAGCCTTGTCTGCGCCTTTGAGACTCTGGCACAGAAGGCAGAGAGACTCAAGGTTATCTTAAGACTTATACTGAGTTTGGGATCACAGACTAAACTGCACAGGCTAAAAAGGAGGCTGGATGGGGAGCATGGATTCCTACCTTCTTGGGAACTAAACTCAAACCAGTTCTTCCTGAGTCACTCAAAAGATCTACTCAGTGGTGAAGGGCTCAGGAAGAAATGTTTGTGTTTCTCTGAGTCTTGGGATAACAATCAACCTGTAGCAGTGTGGAGGCACTGGGCTCACTGGGATGCTCAGGCCCTCAGTGCAGGCACTGTTTTGCCAGATCCACCAGGAACAGAGAATCCCCAGAGCCCTCAGCAGGAACTGGGGGAAGAAGGAGCAGGAAGGGTTTCTAAAAGCAGATGGGGCCATGTTTTTCTCTGCTGGTCTCTTAACAAATGTAGTTGTGGCATGACTTAGACTCTACTTGGCTCTTACAGACAAAGACTTAATAGAAAACCTCTCTAAAAGCAAGAAGCCTAAACTGGACCTAGTGTTTGAGGAATGGGATGTAGCTGGTCTTCCATGGTGGTTTTTAGGCAACCTCAGAAGCAATTACAAGTCCAGAAGTAATGGATCAACAGATATTCAGACTAACCAGGTGTGTAGACGTTTGGAACAGGTGCACTGTGTCCTCCTTCTCTCCTCTTTTGGGTTCCAAGGCAATAAAATATTCTTGTTCTTTCTTTCCCCTTCCCGCTCCAGGATTTTCAGCCTCTCCCTTGTGTGTTCCTGTCCCAGCCTTTCACACCAGGTGGTTGGTTGCTTGAATAAACCAGACTGTCCCTGAGGCCCTGCTGGGCCCTCACAGGTCCCTCTGCACTCCAGGAGTTGCCCTGCTGGTTGTGGGGTGGTGGTCAGGCAGAAGGGGAAGGAGCACAGAGCTGGAAATTGGGAGAAGGGGGGGTGTCTGCGAGTTGGAAGACGGAACAAGGGGTGTGTGAGGGTAGCAAGGTGTCCTGTTCTCTCCTGGCAAAGCTGCCCGGGGCTGTGGAGGTTGTGGAGGAGGAAAAGGGGAGAGTGCTGGTTGTGGTGCTGCTCCTGGGCTGAGCTGTGAGTGGTTTTCCCTGTTCCTTTCCCCTCAGGACATTGACACTGCCATTGTTTCGGATACTACTGACGACCTGTGGTTCCTCAACGAGTGCCCCTTGGACCAGGGCAGTGCTGGGCTCAAGGTGGAGGTGCTTGACTGTGAGGAAGTGAAAGAAGGTGACACAAAGGTACCTCTTCCAGGGTTTAACTGATGGTGGTGCTGTGCTGATACTGGAACCATCCAGACCTTACACTGTGTTCACAAAAGGTGGTGCCTATCCTGCTCAGGCTTTGGGTTAAATGTGTGTTTTCGAGGCATAAAATTAATTTAAAATGAATCAAACCTCCAGCAGCAACTTTACCTAAATATCTTCAAGAATAATAAATCAGAGAATCATAGAATTAAGGTTGGAAAAGACTTCAAGTGTCACCAGTTCCAGCTGCCGAAAGTAAATGAAAAGACTCAAAGAGGAAAATCTCAGTTTACATTGACCACAGACAAGTAGGACTAAGCCAATGCAGCAAGAATTATCAACATTCTGGAATAAAAACACCAGAAAAATGGCTTTTCATTCACTTATAGAAGTAGCTTGATTAGCATGGTGATTATCCAGTCATTTAATCTGGGTGTGCAGTGCCAGGCACGTGACAAATGGAGATCACTGCAACATTTCCACTCTTTGCAGGTGACTGAGGATGTGTGTTTGAATGACTTTGAGGACTCTCAGTGCTTGAGTGATGACACGGACACAGAAGCTGCTTCTGAGGTGGGTGATCCCTCAGGACAACATTCCCTGTTGGAGCAGCTGCATCCCAGCTCCAGCTGGGCCAGCTCATCCCACACCCACTGCTGGCTGTGGCAGGAGAAGCTGACTCTGGTGAGGGTTTCCAGGCCATAAAAAGGGGCTGGATGAAGTTAGTGCTGATCTCCATGCAGGTTTTAATCAGGTTAATTCCATGTGGAATTTGGAGGACAGTCCTGGGCAGAGATCTGGAAATCTCAGCTAAGCACTTTGTAATCACTCGAGTGCCTCACCCTGGAAAAAACCCTTGCCGTGGGAATTTCTGTGCCAGGATCAGGGATCAGTCCATCCTGGCTGTCCAGCCCTGGAGCTGCCCCTCGTTTCTTGTTCCCTGGGATGGGGACAGAATTCCCAGCTCATCCCAGCCCGCTGTCCTGTGACTGCCACGGCTCTGGGCAGGAGGGTGGTGTGGCTGGGGTGGTGTCTGTGCCCTTGCGCTCCTCTCAGAGGACACGCCACAGCTTTTCCCTGCTGAAACAAAGCAAGGTGGGAGGAGAACAAGTAGCAATTACTGAGCTGTCACCCCTCCTCTACCCCACTGCCCCCAAACCCCTCAGGGTGGGTCCTGAGAGACGTCAAAGCTCTGTTCCTTGAGCTGTCCTTCTCTTCTCCCAGTCCTTGGGCTGCCTTGGAGGTTTGTTTTAAGGCAGCAGAAGTGGATCATGAGACTCTTTGCAGCTGATGACACAAAAACAACCTGATTTTGGCATCATTTTCTGGCCTGTGCTGGAATAAATGGGGACGTCCCTGGCACTGGGCAGCTGAATCGTGACTCTGAGCTCGGCCAGCTCCTGCCCTTGCTGTGTGGGGGTAATCAAGCAAACCTCTATTAATTGTGCGGATTCAACAGATGCCCGGTGATCAGTGAGCCTGGGTAGTGTATTCCTGACTGATTCCAGGAGCTCTACCCTGGAATTCCCAGCGGGATCCTGAGAATTCAATAAGCTGCCCAGCAGAGAACAAGCACTGTGTTCGTGCAGAGTGCTGAAGGCTGGCAGGGAGGGAGGGCAGGGTTTAATGTTTGAGATCTGCATCTGCAGAACACACAGGGGGGGTCAAGTCTTCATTAGGCTTTCTGAGGTGCTGAGAATCAAACTAGAAAACTTAGAAATGAGGCAATAAATCCTTTTTTTTTTCTCTGTGAGGCTTCTTTGCTGCTTTTCCCACCAGAGCACCCTCACTGACTGCTGTTTTCTGGCCTCCCCTCCCCCAGGACTGCTGGCAATGCACCAAGTGCAAGAAGTTCAACTCCCCGGGCAAACGGTACTGCTACCGCTGCTGGGCCCTGCGCAAGGGCTGGTACTCAGACTGGCCCAGGCTGGCCCACTCCCTCTCCCTGTCCAGCATTGCTGCCAGGAAAAACAAGGAGGAGGAAGAGGAGGATGAGGGCATAGACGTGCCAGACTGCAAAAGGACCCTGTCGGCTCCGGCCGGGCAGCCCACCCGTGTCTTCAGGGTGGAGACCAAACCCCCCTGCGGCTCCATCGAGTCTCTGGACCTGGCACGGGCCCATGAGAGCAAAGAGTCTCTGCTGAGCTTCGCTGAGAGTAAAAAGGAGGAAGAAATCGAGTCTCTGGAGAGTATAAAAACCCTGCTGAACCCCTGCTTCCTGTGCCAGCACCGGCCCCGCGACGGCAACATCGTCCACGGCAGGACTGCTCACCTCGTGGCCTGCTTCAGGTGTGCCAGGATGCTGAAGAAAAGGAGATCCCCCTGCCCAGTGTGCAGGAAGGAGATCGAGATGGTCATCAGGATCTTCATGGGGTAGCTGGGCCACTCCAGGCCTTTCTCCTCCAAGAAGGAGCCAGCAGGTTTCTTGCACTTAAGCCCCAGTTTCAGAGCTCAGCCAATGAAAGCCAAAGAGAATTAATATTGCAGCCTGCCCAAGCACGCTGAGGAGTCTCTGCAGTGCCCCCCTTCCCGTGCCCCTGGAGATTAAAGTCTGTAGGGAACAGGGAGGGACACGCTGGTGTCAGTGCCCCAGCCTGCAGCTGTGCAATCAATGCCTTCTGAGGGGGGTCTGATCTGAGGTAGAGACAAATATCCAGGGGTGGGAAGGGAGGGATTCCAAGGTGTTTGCAGCTCAGATAAGCCCCTTCTCCAAGGATCAGTTCTCCTGAGGGCAGTGTAAAGTAAATAACCCCATTTCTGATTTTTTTGGTAGGCTTTTGAGGCAAGGTGAAGGTCCTTGTGCTCCCAGAGAGGAAACAAATCCTCCCAAACTCTGAATCTGGAACTGTCTCAGGTCACGTAGAGAACACAGTGATGCATTTTGCTTTCTTACTGGCTCATTTAATTTACATGGATTCTTTTTTTCATTTAAATATATTTTCTGTCAGCTTGCATGGCTTTCAAGCCTGCCCAGCATTAGCTCAGCCTCTGCTCTGCTGGTTGGATTCGATTCCAGCAGCTCTGTGCCTGTTTTGGGATGTTCCCAGTGCACCTCCCAGTGCCTCATCTCATCAACCTGCACAGAATACACTCATTTTTGAGTGCAATGTAGCTTTAAAGGCAGGACATGAGCCTTTGAGGGGAAAAGCGACTCCTTTAAAGCACCAGTTGCACTCTGGGGGCTGTGCTGGGTGTCAGGTTTTTAATTTTCTCCTGCTCTTTTTTATTCCCCCCCCACCCCGCGCTGTGATTTAACACTCCAGCTCTGCCCCTTCAGAGCTGGCTGCTAAAACTTAGTTAAAACCTGCCATTGAAAAAAATCTCACCCTTCCCTGAGGTGATACCCAAGGCTGGGCTCCATTCCCTCACTGTCCCTGTTTCCCAGACCCTTTGGGGGACCAACAGAACCTTCACCTTTCAGCTCTTCAGCAGTTGGAGCTCGTGGAGACGCGGCAGGAGAAGTTCCTGCTCGTTCCCTGGGCTGTTCCTCCTTGTTTTCCCGCTCTCCACGTGCTGGTCCAGCCCCAGCAGGTCCAAAACCTGCCCAGCAGAAGGTTCCAGCAGACCACGAGTTGTTGTTGTTGTTTCCTTGCAAAATCCCAGAGTAGGTGCTACCAAATCGCTGCGAGACCCCCCATCCCGTCCTCCCAGAGCCCTGGGATGCTCTCCCTGCTGGCTGTAATTGGGATCGCTGGTGGCAGCTGTGCCCAGAGCACCTCAGTGCACCATCCATGGGAATCAGTCCCTGTGGAAAAGGTGATTTATTGTTCACTTGAACTAAAAGGCTCTTCAATTGCTGGCCATGCACTTTAATCTCGATGGGATCTAGCAGCTTTACCCCTGCAGTTACCCGAGGGAGGGCCTGACAGGTGGTTTCTTTTCCCTTTCCGTGTGGCTTTTTCCCCTTTTCAGGTGTTTGGTTTTTTTTTTCCCTTTGCAAGTGGGTTTTTTTTCCCCTTTCCAGGTGGGTTTTTTCCCCCTTTGCAAGTGGGTTTTTTCTCCTTTTCCATGTGGGTATTTTCCCCCCTTTTCAGGTGGGTATTTTCCCCTCTTCATTTTTTTCCCGCCCTTTTCAAGTGTGGGGTTTTTTTTTTCCATTCCATATGGCTTTTTTTCCTCTCTTTTCAGGTGGGTTTTTCCACCTTTCCACGTGTTTTTTTTTCCCTTTTCAGGTGGGTTTTTTTTCCCCTTTTCAGGGCTCAGCAGGGTGCACTGTGGCACTTTTGGATACTGTGAATTCCCCTTTGCCACAATTGCTTCTGAAAGCTCGCATGTTTTGCTCAAAGCCGTTGGAGTGAATCACCCACATCTGGACACGCTGAAAAGGGTGTGATTTGAGTTGACCAGAACAAAAGTCAGGAGAGTTTTGAGCTGAACATCCCTCCCAAAATCCCGCTGAGATCCCTGTGCATCTTGCCCAGTTAAATGGGATTTCAGTGGGGCAGTTTGGGGTGAACCTGGGGGGCATTTTCAGTGTAGTGCTTTTCTGTCTCTCTGATTTGTTGTTTACAGGGTCCATTTGCCAACTCCTCCGATGTTTTTAAGTCGAATATTCCGTGCCCTTAAGGCACCACAGTCTTGAGTGGATATTCCTGTCCCAGAAGAATAAGCTATCGCAGTGCCAGTCCCTTGGTGGAGCTCTGGCTTGCCCAGGTTGGGGCTTGGAAGGAGGGGAGGAAAAGAATCTTTTATTGCCTACAGTTAAATCCCAGTGCGTAGCAGCTCACCAGGAGCCCCTTCTGCCAGGTCTGGGAGTGAAACACTCACTCCTGTGCCACTTTTAGGGGGTGGAGAAGTAGCTCAGAGCACTCAGCTGTGGTGCTGGGAATTCCCTTTCCCACAGGAGTTCACCTGGGGTCAGAAATGCTCTTCTTGGGGGATCCTTTGTCTGCTCACGGCAGGTCCTCCCTCTCCGGTGGTTTTGAAGTGCAATAAGAGACAAGAGGTCCTTGGTAGCCCTCAGTGCACCCCTGTGCGCACAACTTGTGGGCACAACTGTCTTTTCAATGCCCAAACTAAAATGTGTGATCTCTTTTACTGCCTTTTGCTGTTTGCTGTTCACAGGAACCTGCTGCCGGGGCTGTAAGGTCAGGTTTTTCCTTGACAGGAATTTTGGCACCGGATTTCTGACTGTGTTGGGTATTTAAAATAGAGCATGGAAGCTCTGAAGCTCTCCAGTGTGTGGGTCTCGGTGCTCTGCAGCGTGAAAATGTGTTTGTAAACTCTGCGTCTCGACAGCCAGAGGTCAGCACAGCCCCTTTGCTCCCCAGAGTATTTCCAGCTGAAGTGCCTCTTCTCAGTTGCTCAGTGACTTGTTCGCAGCTCATCGGCCTTCCCTTCAGCTCTCCCAAAGTCCCTCCTGTGCTGAGGGGGTGTTAATGCTCCTCAGAAGCTGTGCCTGCAGAGGGGAAGTGGCACTGGGACAAATGGCAGTGGAAATGGAGCAGAAACCAAGTGTCCCGAAGCCCCTCCGGGGTTCTGCCTGTTCTGAGCTTCATCTCCCAGGAGAAGAGCTCTCACTAGAGGCCTTCAGTGGAGGCTGGCCATTCCGGAAGGTTCCACGAGTGAAGAAAGAGCCTCTTTATCCATAAGCTGACTGAGGAATTCCTCGAGTCCTGTGAATCCTCTTTGCCCCCTGCTGTGAGCAGTGTCGGGATCCCTGAGAGGGAGATGCTGCCCCAAGAGTGAGGCCCACGGGTTTGGCACAGCTCCAGAAGCACAGCTGTCCTGCAGACAAGCGGCTCCTCAGCTCTGCAATCCCTTCCTGATCCGTGCCCAGTGCCTGGAGCGTTCCCTGCTCCTCTGGGGACAGGCCTGGCCCTGCCTGTGCCCACCTGGGAGCCACATCCCCCTCTGCACCCTCTTCCCCTGATGGCCACGGGCAGCTGAGGTGGCTGCACTCCTGTTCCTGGTTTGTTTTACCCCAGCCAGGTGCTCTTGCTGCCCACACCTCTGTGGGGACACCCCTGCCCTGTCACCTGAGCAGCTGCGTCAGGAAGATGCAATTTCTGGAACCCTGAAAGGATTCGGGGGGTCTTCAACTCCCAGAGGGCACAACCAGGGCTGAGGAGCAGCAGGAGATCCACGAAGGCAGCAGGAATACCTTGTACCTCTGGCAGAGGTCAAGTCTGGCTCTTCTGGGAAGAGTGATGCCCTCCTGGATCTCCCCACGTCCCTCTCCCACAGCCTGGTGTTCCCAGGCACGTTTTCCTTGTCCAGGAAAACCCCCAGTCCCACTGTGCCCCCACCAGTGACAAACAGCAGCTCTTGCTGAACATCACCTGTGTGTTTGCACTATTTAAATAAGGCTTGTACCACAAAATTGACCTTTTTTTTTTTTTTTTTTTTTTATGTCCTGCAGAAGATGAATTTAATTAAATCGAGCTCATTCTCCGATCCCGTGGGTTTTGTTTTCATTTGTTCTGCAGTCAGGGGGGAACCTTCCAGGAGCAGCCTGGGATCCTCCTGTGTGTCCTCTCCAGAGAGGGGGGGGGGGTGTCCTTCCTGTGGATGTGTCTGCCCTGCACCAACATCTGTGTGTGCAAAATCCAGCAGGAACAGCAGCAGCTCTGCATTCCCCTCCTGGGCCAGCCGTTGCTGGGTTCTTTTCCAGCCCATTCCCAGTCCCTTTCCTCTGACATCCAGTTTCCCAGGAGGGGAACCAGCACCTCACTGTCCTGTGGCAGTGCCAGGGGGGTTTTTACCCCTTTTCCAGCTGTTTTAGGTTATTTTCCAGAGCAGGGTGGCAGCAGCCCTGGAGGAGGCAGGCAGTTCACTAGATGGCACCCGCTGGCTGTGCGTGGCACTGGCAGCTCCCTGCAGCCCTCCCTCCCTCCAGGCTGCACAGACCCCCCCAGGAAAAGGCACTGAGGGACAATCCCACGGCTGGGGATTGGTTTTCCTTGTCCCCCCCTCTTTGTGGGGACCAACAGGCTGCAGGTCCTCGGGCTCTGCCCCCTGTTTAACCAACCCCACACCCCCCTGAGCCCGGTGGGTGCCAGGGCAGAGGGCTGGTGCCTTCCCCAGCACTTCCTCCTGCCTTGGCAGGATATTTTATTTATCCACTTTGATGACTTTCCCTGGATTTAATGCTCTATAGGTGCCACTTTAATCTGTCTTCTCCCTCCTTCCCCTTAACCTGGTTTGTGCAATCAGTGCCCAGATTAAATATTGATGGTGTTCTCCGTACTGGTGAGCTCCCAGTTCCCTTCCAGTGCCAATTAAAGATTTACCAGGTGGGCATCAGCACTTTGCAGGGCCAGGGCAGCTCCCGTAGTTGGAGTGTGTAAGTGCTTCACTGTCAGGGCTGAGCAGAGCTCACCGCAAATTCCATCTCCAGCACCCCAGAGGCAGCTCCTGCTCTCCCTGCAGGGCTCAGCCCCACACAGGGAGGAGGAATAACTTCCCAATATCCCACCCAACCCTGCCCTCTGTCAGATCAAAGCCATTTCCAGGCAAAACGTGGCAGGAGGGGTCAGGAGCTCCCAGCCCCTCTGGCTTCTCCAGCTCACGCTGCATTTTGCTTCCAAACAGGAGAAAAGGCTCTTTCCTCCCCCACTTTCTCACATGTTTGGTTTTGAGGGTTTTTTGGGGTGGGGGGGG